ACCACATAGTAATGAGGAAAATAAATACGTATATAAAACGAAAAAAAGGTACATCGTATAAAACGTGAAAAATTATATTGGTGAAAAAAAAATATGACCGGGCAAAGAACACTTATAAGAGTGATTAAAATGAGATAGAAGTGATGGCAGATGAAGGTAAATATTAAATTCCTAGTGAGGTTTCTGTTGTAATGAAATAATAGACCAGAAGGACTGCACTCAGGCGTAATGTGTATGGTGATATTTTACAATGCAAACTTGTCTTTCATCGTTTAGATACAGTAAGGTGATATTTTACGATGCAGTCTGTCTCTGTGTGTTTCATCCCTTAGTTGTAAACACAAACCGGACTATACATGTCGTTTTGGCTTCACTGAGTTTACATAATAAAAATTAGGCTGTGAGACTTTCTAGCAAACCGACAAGGAGGAAAAATCCCAGAGAGCAGCAAGCTGAAGGTGTAACAAGCAGCACTTTCTGTCATCCTTATTGAAACATATCGTTCAGCTAAGAGCCTAAACCCAAGGAGTTTTAGTTTATGGAAAATAAATAAAGGAGGTGCTGTCGCTAGTTGTTTGCGGTGCCATTCACCACTGCCTTCTCTTTCGCAGTTTGCGCCTCAATCAGCCTGAAGTAACAAAGGAGGAACTGAAGCTGAGACATATACAACGACTGTCCGTCGGTCCTTCGAGCGGCCGCGTCCATCAATCGCCGACTCTCGACGGACTGTTTGTTCTCGTAGTGATTCACAACGCACGTACCTTTGCTTGAGCTAGTCGATGTTCCATCATCGGCACTCGATGCACCACTGGTCACTTCCTGGCATGCTTCCTGCAACTTCTACAGCGTAATAAGTGAAGACTAGTAGTAAGTGCCAGAAAACTGATCAGAACCGTAAACATAGATTTGTCCACTGCATTTTTAAGATGCAAATTTTGCGCATACTGCGACTAAACGTTAAAATTACACATGTCCACAGGAAAAGGGAGATAAGGGGAAATGTGATTTCATTAAAGGATAAAGAGAAAATGATGAAGTAGAAAAAAATGAAGAGAAGAAAAAAGAAGTAAAAAAAAAACGAAATGAAAAAGGGAATTGGAAATATGGAAATATTTGTAATACGTAAGAAATTTCTCGATCCATTAAGTCGTATACATTTCTTACCGTTACCACAACTGGACCTTCTGTCACTATGACGATTGTGGTAACAAAATAATTTAGATGGTTTGATGTAGTACACAAATTTTTAAGATAAAAACAAAGACAAAAAGGGCAGAAAATCCTCGCCTTTCCTAATCAATTCAATTAATATGTCACTCCGATGTGATGAGGGGATAATCCATATCTACCTGTGCTTGGTAAA